GTTGCTATTAAGTTTTTCTTGCTGTTTAAAATTTTGTAGTTTCGATCAGTCCCTTCCAACTCTCTCTGTTTCCAGTGAATATAGACTAGATCTTACAGCTACACTCGTATTCTCCAGTGTCGTTTATACGGTTATTAGAAGTTGGACTTAGTCATTGGAATTGCGTCGATGTCTCGAGACTATATTTTCGTAACCAGGGGGTCCATAATCGGCTTTCGTGGGTAGTAGCATAGGTGTTGACCAGGTGGCTTGCACGGCACACGTTAACTTCTAGGGTGTGGCGAGGACTGATTCTAGAACGTCTCTCGGTCGGATAAGGGGGAACACTGTTGGTATCTTACGTTGATTAGGCGTGGGGGCATTTAATGCTGGTTCCTTTATACGGGGTTCTGTAGCGGCCCGGGTTAGGCTAGCTGGGCATAAAGATAGGAATAGAGTTAAAGGATAAAAATATAAATAATTATTAGTGTTTTTTATGAGTTTTATTTTGGTTATGCTATGGAATATTGTCATCACTCGGTGTTGATGTGGCTGTATTGAAATTCCTTCAGAGTTGTCTTTTTATTCGGCAGTCGTTCAATACAGCATTCAATGTGCGCTCGGGCACTAGATCTTTTTTTTTTCAGTGGTGCGTTGATTTTCGGGAAGACCATATTCAATTAGGATATTCAATCTTCTAATGGTGCTCCTGAAAAGATGAAAATTTTAGGGTGGCTTTCGACAAAACATAATCTTTATTTCATTATCTGTATTGGTAATTATATATTGTGATATCTGATGCTCTCGAAATAAAGATTTTATGGTCGTATTCTCGGGCTTTTGGAAATGTCTTTACACAAACTCTTCCAACATGGCACTCTATTACCTGAATTGCGCATGCTTGCAGAATCGGTTTATATTTGATATTATCTCAGTTCCACCCACCAGTGCAAATTACTAAATGTCACGACAGACAATCTTGCAGTTAACCATTTTTCTTGTTCACTTGATTATGTTATCTACCGATTCGATAAACCGTCGGAAGCGCGGTTTAAGCAATGCTGCCACGTGCGTAGTGTGGACCCTCGTCCGCGAATTGCTCGCTCTATCTTGATTGAATGAGATTAGAACACGTAAAAAATTTATTTTTATCCACATAGGCACTTTGAATTTTTTAGTGCCCCGATCGGGCCACCATAATTTTACTTTTGGATAATTTTGGTGGCCGACGTGAAAGTTTTTTGGTGGCCACGGCCACCGGTCGACCACGTGTGTCGAGCCTTGCATACGATTTGTGTTTGTTTGTCTCTGGTTCGCTTGCGCATGCTCATTTAAGCTATTATGGTCCAGAGTGGTGCCTTGAAGGCGAAAGCATATTATCTCTAGAGCGCACCGCCGATTTTTTAAAAAAAAGTGTGCGGCCTTTTGCTTTTCCAAAATGAGCCCGATTGAATTTGCGGCCCATCGCTTTGAAACAGTTTGACAACTCTGATCTAACGTCCTTGAAAAAATGTCTTGAATCGTTCGCTAGTCCCCATAACTTTGTTCGGTCGTCTGGATACAAGCTGTAGAAGTGGGTTTAGGTCGCTGTTTAACTCCATAAATCCCCGGTCTTTTTCTTCTGATAATTCTCCTTGCCCTCTTCTTTTTCCAGCTCCATGCGGTCAATTGCTTGTCAAACTCACACTGTTCGTTTATTTCATCTCAAATGCAATCGTTTGCCCTTCGCCGTGAACAACTTTAAATAGGCCAATTACTTGAAATCAATTCAAACCCTTCATAATTTGTCCTCATGTTCAAAGTCGCCTGCCGTCGTTTGATTGTCGCTGATCCGGGCGCGGGAATCCAATAGGCTTTTTGGAACATTTTTAAGCGACCCTCCACAGTGTCCTTTTACAACAATCCTAATACTTACAACTGCTGACTGAAAACAACGGCGTCGCCCGGTTTAATCTTAGGGGGGCGGGCAATGAGTTTTGTTCGGTGGCGGAGTGCCGAAGGTGGGGGTGGTTGTGGGGGGGGGTCAATCCACTTCCACACCCCAGTGAGAGTTTTTCCTGCACTTGGTTGAATTGTTACCAATGGATGCTAACTCTCTGGGATCGTCTGTGTCGGCCTGTTTAAATCGACTTTTGCAGCCACCGTGCCTGTACGCAATAACAGCGACGTGATAATGAAAGCATAGCGTTTATGAAACACGGGCGCGTTTATGAAACACGGGGCCATCTCATTCAACGTCGAACAAAGAGCCAACATAGCCTCTCGTCTCTCTCTCTCTCCTCTCGTCCCTCTCTCCCCTCATCTCATCTCTCTTCTTCGCCTTCTCCCTCTCTCTCTCTGTCGCCTTCTCCCTCTCTCCCCTCCCATCTCTCTTCTTTGCCTTCTCCCTCTCGTGCCTCTCTCTCTTCTTCGCCTTCTCCATCTCGTCCCTCTCATCTCTCTTGTTCGCCTTCTCCCTCTCTCATCTCTCTTCTTCGCGTCTCTCCTCTCTACCTCCCTCTCTCCCCTCTCATCTTCTTCGCCTTCTCCATCTCGTCCCTCTCATCTCTCTTCTTCGCCTTACCTCTCTCCCCTCTCATCTCCCTCTCACCCCTCTCATCGCCTTCGCCTTCTCCCTCTCTCCCCTCTCATCTCTCTTCTTCGCCTTCTCCCTCTCTCCCCGTTACACGTAATCTTGTAAGGAACATTAATGACGTCGTTGCATGCGGGTTGGGTAAGGAGTCATCTCGTTCAACGTCGAACATCGCCGAGCCGCCGCTGCCGACCTACCGTTGGGTACAGAATGTTATTCTCTCGCTACCTCCCTCGCTCCCCTCTCCCCTCCCCTCTCATCTCTCTTCTTCGCCTCTTTCTGCCTCTGCCCCTCTCTCCTCTCATCTCTCTTCTTCGCCTTCTCCCTCTCTCCCCTCTCATCTCTCTTCGCCTTCTCCCTCACGTCCCTCTCTCCTCTCGTCCCCTTCCCTGCCTCTGCCCTCTTCTTCGTCTCTCTCTCTGTCTCCTCTCCGCCTTCTCCCTCTCTCCCCTCTCATCTCTTCTTTGCCTTCTCCCTCTCACCCCTCATCTCTTCTTCGTCTCTCGTCCCCCTCTCTGCCTCTGTCCCTCTCTCGTCCCCCTCTCTGCCTCTGCCCCTCTCTACCTCCCATCTCTCTTCTTCGCCTTCTCCCTCCCTCCCCTCTCATCTCCCTCTCTCGCCTCTCATCTCTCTTCTTCGCCTTCTCCATCTCTCTCCTTCGCCTTCTCCCTCTCTCGCCTCTCATCTCTCCTCTCCGCCTTCTCCCTCTCGTCCCTCTCTCGCTCCTATTCGCCTCTCTCCTCTCTCCCCTCTTCTCTCCTCTCTCCCCTCTCATCTCGCTTCTTCGCCTCTCTGCCTCTGCCCCTCTCTACCTCCCATCTCTCCTACCTTCTTCCTCTCCTCTTCTACTCCTCCTCCTCTTCCTCCTCCCCCTCTACTCTTCTTCTACTTCTACTCCTCTCTTCTTCGCCTCTCTCCTCTCTCTACCTCCCTCTCTCTCCTCTCATCTCTCTTCTTCGCCTTCTCCCTCTCGTCCCTCTCTCCCCTCATCTCTCTTCTTCGCCTCTCTCCTCTCTCCCCTCTCATCTCTCTTCTTCGCCTCTCTCCTCTCTCCTCCTCCCCCACTCCTCCTCTACTCTTCCTCTACTCCTCCTCCTCTACCTCTACTCCTCCTCCTCCTCTACTCTTCTTCTACTCCTCCTCCTCCTCTCCTCTTCTACTTTTTTACTCCTCTTTTCTTCTACTTCTACTCCTCCTCCTCCTCTCCTCTTCTACTTTTTTACTCCTCTTTTCTTCTACTTCTACTCCTCCTCTACACCTCTTCCTCCTCTACTCCTCCTCTCCCCTCTACTCCTCCTCTCCCCTCTCTCTCTCTCTTCTTCTCCCCTCTCTCTCCTCTCATCTCTCTTCTTCGCCTTCGCCCTCTCTCTCTCATCTCTCATCTCGTCCCTCGTCCCCCTTTCTGCCTCTGCCCCTCTCTACCTCCCTCTCTCTCCTCTCATCTCTCTTCTTCGCCTTCTCCCTCTCGTCCTTCTCTCTCCTCTTCGCCTTCTCCCTCTCCCCTCTCATCTCGCTTCTTCGCCTCTCTCCTCTCTCGTCCCCCTCTCTGCCTCCCTCTCTCCCCTCTCTTCTTCGCCTCTCTCCTCTCTGCCTCTGCCCCTCTCTACCTCCCTCTCTCTCCTCTCATCTCTCTTCTTCGCCTTCTCCCTCTCTCTCTTCTCCTCACTCTCTTCTTTGCCTTCTCCCTCTCTCCCCTCTCTCTCCCCTCTCATCTCTCTTCTTCGCCCTCTCTCTCCTCTTTGCCTTCATCTCTCTCTCTCTCTCTCCTCTCTGCCTCTGCCCCTCTCTACCTCCCTCTCTCCTCTCTCGTCCCCCTCGCTGCCTCTGTCCCTCTCTCCCTCTCTCTCCCCTCTCATCTCACTTCTTCGCCTTCTCCCTCTCTCTCCTCTTCGCCTTCTCCCTCTCTCCCCTCTCATCTCTCATCGAAATTGGTTTAATTCTTTGTTTTATAGGTTTATCTAGGGAAAACGCGCCCGCTACGCTCCCGTGGTTCATACAGCTTGAGCTGTTCACTCAGCGCTGCGTCGGTATCGACGGGCGTGCTCAGCGGATGACAGCTTTCACAGTGTCGCGGATGTGTGACAGTGACGGATGTGTGACGTAACAGGACATCTGCTCGTTCGAATTCGTTCGCTGATACGGGCACGCGTTATTTGTGCGTTATATTCAGAGAGAAAAAAACGACTGCATGCGTGCGCAGAATACATGTACCGAACCGAACTGAACCGCACTGAACCGAGAGCGCACGCCGTATTCGAGCTTTCATCGATTTTTGTCACAAATGACCCGGTGACCTGTGATGTCACACAACCCCTTGGCTAACTACGAACTCGCTTATAGCAACCGAATAACACGAGGGTATTAGCGACTGATCATGAATGAGAAATGTGCGTATAGGGGGCGGGGGTGAAGTCAGGTAAAACTACCATCAATCCACAAGACACGCCGATGATTTCGTACAGTGTATATCATTTATTCATTAAGTGTGGGTTACGACACGAAACTTTACAAACGGGCCAAACTAACGTCTACGGCGGTTCGGCTTTGATGCTGTAAATTCTCCTAGGAAGATTGTGTAGTATCCAGCTGGGCCACCGTACGCCAAAATCAACAGACATGCGCACAAGTTCATTTTGTCAGATAGACAATACATTAAGCGGAAACACACTGAAGTAGGCCCCCTCTAGAATCAATGTTAATATTCTCACAAAGCTAAACATTATTCTTATTCATGACATCAAATATAGACAAGTCTGGTTGAAGGGGGAACGTTCGCACGGTTTATGTACAACAAATTCAATTCGCGCGACATGACGTCGAGGAAAATACTTTATACATTACATATAAATGATTCATGCTATACTCAATTATAACGTCACCAAAACGGTGACAAGGAAGCGATCCCACCATGTTACACCCGCGGATAAAAGTTTCTACACTCATGCACGCGCACGACGCCTTCGACCACGCGTAAACTGGCTATGCGCCTATACAATCCTATAGCTCGCGTCTTTCTTGTCACATTTCAATCACTCATAGCACTATCAGACTAATCGTCTGGTCATCACAAATGGAGTGAATCTACGATCTTTGACGACACTTCGTCATCGATATAAAACCCTCGCAATGTTTTTTAAACGCTACATTACTGACACATACACTGTAATCTTGCATGTGAACGCGCACATCCAAACCGTTTGCAAGGTTTACGGCGGAAGGAAAGCGACGCGTTGAAATAATGCACGAAAACGTTGATGACGAAACTTGATGATGAATATTTTCGTTTACCGCACATGTACACGATTCTCAACGTGATATGGGGGAGGGGGGGGTAAGGCCCTGCGTGTTTCAATATCTGCGCTCGCTTTTAACGAATTGGTCGAGGAATGTGCGGTGTATAATGTTTAAGTGAATTCGCATTACGTCAGCATCGCCAGGGATAGTGGGACAAGCTCAGCTTTTAAAACCTCTCATACATGATGGTCGTCCCATGGAAGTAGAAAGCTACTTAATCGAGTGTGACAGTGCATTACACTTTACGACGCGCCTATACGAAATGAATGAAACACGTACAAAATATCCATCGCAACAATCGATAATTGCAAACATCATGAAGGTCACCTCACAGTACGTGGAGAATATACATTATCGCGACCGATTCCAACGCCGACGAGATGCTAACAACACAGAGAGCATATTACATTCGTATAACAGCGATGACGATATCTGCTTTCACAAAGATAAATGCTCACATTTCACGGGACTACAACGGCGTGGGCAGCGAGATACTTATAACTTCCGCTGATGTAGACAACACTCACATAGGTAACAAAAGATCAATGACGCTTACGCAGAAATGTGTTGTGTACATGCACTCGTTTTCGCAGTCGTCCGTCGTAAGCGGAGGAATGGTCAAAATAATTGTCTCGCCACAAAGAAATCGGTGTACTTAGCTACTCGATTAGGATCTCATTAAAATTTAACCAACCGTGCGCGTGCTAGAAAAAACATGCAAAATTTAAAATCACGCCCTAATTCCGGTGGAAATATAAACGAGTGAACAATTCAACTGTTTTAATACGAAACTTCATTCAACAAGATCCGTTACTATTATATAGACAATCAATAAAAAAGAACATCTGCATTCCAACCAACCTTGCCGTGGGCAACTTAACCGGCGATTTGAGATTCTACTTGGCGAGTTGGGCGATGCAGATGACGTGGCACGGCGGCAGTGTTCACTTGTCGGGGCGTGTTGACCAAGCGTCGCTCGCCGTAGCCGCCACTCAACCGCGCACGGTTACCAGCCCGGTGGCGGTGGAGTCTTGCAAATCCGCACGCAGTCCTCGTTTTGGCGATCCGTCGTATCGCGCAGTCAGTCGGCCATTTTTCACACGGTCGCCACAGTTCACTAGCCACAGGTCACTAAACCATTGAGCACTGCTTCAATGCATTGTACAGTTGCGTTTGCTGAGTACAGGTGGCAGCACCGTTCGGCACAGCAGCATCAGCCTGCAGTAAGCTCACATCGTTCACATCTAGCGCCGCGGTGGCGCGTCTCGACGACTGGCATTTTCGTCATCGGTATTAACATGGTCCCGTCCTCCATCCTTGCTATACAGGCGAGGAGAGGCCACGTGATCACAGTAGTCATGTCGCGTAGTGGTCGAACGATCCTAGGTATTCGAGTGCTGCCTTGTAGCAAAACTGGTATTGGTCCTGGTGGCAAAGAGACGTGACGAGTTGTTAGACAATTTTATCGATTATATAAGAAAAAAAGCGCGTACGCAAACACTCATTCTTCATACATATATCACTTCTGCAATGTATTACTCAGAAGCAAGACGTTATGAAAGAAAATGCTACTAATCCAGATCGCTGTGCCCATGAATTTTATATGCGAGCTTGCAGTGTAATACTTCAAAGATGAGTTTTAGAGCAAAACATCATAGACAGACACGCAAAATCTACGACCGACCAATCGATCCACGCAATGCTCTCGACTGCCCCATAAAATTCTCGACCTAGATCTAGGACAGTGCTGCCCTCTACGGGGCGTCGGCCGCTCTCACCTCAGTCTGCACCATGCAGGGCCGCTGCGTGCGCAGTGTCTTCACGGTCTGGAACATGTCGACCACGCCCTCGTATCTCATCCGCTCCAACACGATGCTGAGGGTGATGAACACGCCCGTTCTGCCGACCCCCGCGCTGCGGACAAAAAACAGAAGAGCATTCGAGTAACACGTGCATCCTGCCGAGCTAGTGTGAAGGCCAAAAAAAAACAAGCACAGCCGACTAACCAGTAACCCCATCCTGTCAGCGAAAATGCTGCAGATGAAAACATGAACAGCAAATTGATATGGCTGTCCTACTGAATGCCATACTGTGATGATGTGGGAAAACCCATAAAAACAGTGAATAAACAGGACAGATATAACATAAGTAAATATAAGAATAATATAGAACTATGGTTAGAGTAAAATACTAGCAAAATATAGAAGATCATTTCAAAGGTTTTATCAAAGTGCAAATAACAAGCTAGTTGTGTCCAGAGAAATTAGATAATGACATAAACTATATTATCTAAAAGCAATAATAATAATAATAATAATAATAATTATAGAAATCACTGACGTCATCCACCAGTGTGCACCCCACCTGCAGTGTATAGTAATGGGTCCATCTTGGCCGAACTGGTCCTTCGTTTTATGCACCTGTCCAATGAAGTCGATGAAGCCCTCACCAGACTTGGGCACGCCCTGCTCAGGCCAGTCAGTGAACTGGAACTGCCTGACCGTCCGCGACTGTCCATCCTGTAGAAACCACACGCACACAGCGACTTAGACAAACTACTACACATACACCTTCTGTCAATGGTCTACGAGCCAAAGTTCACGTTAAGACTAATGTTAAGACTAAGAAGAATTTTGTTTCTGACAACGGGCCCTGTCTGATGCCTGGCTGCCATGGTAACAGTAAGGGAATGTGTCGCGAATAACACGTTCTCTCTTTAACTTTCGTTCTTAAACTAAAAAACAAAACTCTAAAATGATAAATGAGACAACTTCAAATGACTTAAACCTCTTACATTAAAATCACATCAATAATATAGACCGAATCGCTAGAGATATTTCGGCTAGAGAATCGCGAACGATATTGGATTGCTGAGAACCGTTTTACCGAGGCGATACTCACGCTCATAGCGTCTATGTCTCCCTGGGTACTGCCAGAACGTACCATGGGTACGGTCCGGTATACCGGAACGTACCCTGGTAACTATCTGATATGGTTAGGGTTAGGGTTAGGGAGTAGGCGTAGGCGACTCCCTAGACTCGTTAGTGGAAGGGGCGAGGTACGGTAGGCGAGGTAGATAGTTACCAAGGTATGTTCCAGTATACCGGACCGTACCCAGGGTACGTTCCGGCAGTACCCAGGGAGACATAGACCCTCTCAGCAATACTCACCCTTGCATCAGTAACCTTAAATTCCCTAAGTATGTACTGAGGCATGTTGTACTCTGCGATGGGATCGACAACGAAGTACTGGTAACGGGCCGATCGTTCACTAGGCCAATACTGGTGACACTTCTCCTGTAAACACGAAGAACAGAGAATCAGTACATGCACGTAAACGTAACACTGGATGTGCGTTGAATAATAACAGATAACAAAATGATTGAACACGTAGATTGAAGTCGAACTGAGCCGGTGGCTAATACTGATGGAAGATGTACGAATATATTATGGATTATGGATATATCAACGTTCATGCATGCACGCACATACATCCATTTAACAGTAAACCAAGGACTAAAAACAACACTAAGCTAAATCTTGAAATCCCCTACCCTGCCCCGCCCTCACCCGGCGTTCACTCACCCGGCCCATCTCTCGGAGCTTGGTGAGCATGACGATGATCGTCGAGTTGTGCTCCCACAGCACGCGCCAGAAGTCCTCGGTCGTCTCCGGCAGCGGGCCCTGCGTCGCGATGTATGCGTTGCGGTAGCGGTAGCCCTGCGATAGATCGCACAGACACGTGAGAGACGTCAAACAGCGACAGGGAGCGCGGGCTGACGCGTGAGAAGCGGGAGACGCGAGTCATCTCGGTGTGTTACTACGTTGCCACCAAAGCACTCGTATAAAAGCGACCTCTATTATGAGCCCCTACCAAAGTTCTCATATAGAAGCGCCCCCTACACGAGCTGCCACCAAAGTGCTCGTATAGTAGCGCCCCCTACACGAGCTGCCACCAAAGTGCTCGTATAGTAGCGACCCCTACATGACTTGCTATGCGGGGGGCTACTCTTATACGAGCGCACAGTCCCTCAACTATCACACTGACAATAAGTTAATTTCATAAACACGTCTAGACAGAACTTTATGTGTCAGATTTATTTAGTTTAAAAAAACACGACAACTTCAATCAAAGTGTGCTGGGAGTGACTTACATCTATCCAGCTTGCGTTGATGTAGTCTGAACCATCCACTCCCCTGATTGGCTGCAGACATACTCTTGTTGATTCATCTGCGAAGGAATTGAAAGCCGATTAGATAAACACATTACATTGAATCTCTCGTCCTGATCGACCGAATCAACTTAATCAGTCAGAAAACTCAATCGGCTGAATTGCAGATAGCAGGATGTGACTCACAAGGCAGGATGTTGACAAGTCTGTTCTTGAACTTGTTCACTGGCAGGTTGGCACTGATGAATCTAGATGGTTGAGCCTTTACATTTGCTAATCGCTGCAAAAGAAGCGACGGAGAAATTTAGACGGAGTTCCATACAGAACATTCTGTAGATGGATGTGGCACATTTTTATCATAAATTTTTCATACAGACTGTAAGTAAATCATTAATCCAACCTCAATCCTCCCCCTCTCTCGCCCCCATCCCTCCCCCTCGCTCACCTTGAACTCTAGCTCCATGCCGGGGACGTTCTCCCCCGGCTCGGGCTGCATCACCTCCCCTTCCTCCTCCATCCCTCCTCCTCCCCCTCCTCCCTTCCTACCTCTCCCCCACTCCCATCCCCTCCCCCCTCGCTCACCTTGAACTCAAGCTCCATGCCCGTGCCGTTCTCCCTGGGTTCGGGCTGCATCACCTCCTCTCCCGCATCCCCCCACTCTCCTCCCTCTCCCCTCTCCCTTCCCCTGCCCCTCGCACACCTTGAACTCTAGCTCCATGCCGGTGACGTTCTCCCCGGGCTCGGGCTGCATCACCCCCTCTCCCCCATCCCCCCACCCTCCTCCATTTCCCTCTCTCTCACCTTGAACTCAAGCTCCATGCCGGTGACGTTCTCCCCGGGCTCGGGCTGCATCAGCCGCTGCATGTGCGTGTAGAGGCTGCGGGCGGGCACCTCCGTGTTGCCGCTGCTCACAGCCTCGAGCAGCGCGTCGTGGATGAACACGTACTGGTCCTCGGTCTGCACCATGTAGTTGCGCTGTGCGCGCAGGCACGTCACGTGGCCGTAGATGTCGACCGTCTTCTCGTGGCGGATGCGCTCTAACATCGCGTCGATGACGATGAATGCCCCCGTGCGGCCGACGCCCGCACTGCAGAGAGGAGAGAGAGAGAGAGAGAGAGATGAAGATATCGGCAGGATTTTGGAGGAGAATGCCGTGAGAGAAACACTTGAGTTTGCTGTGGTGTATATGACGATGAACGCGCCCATATGGCCGACGCCCTCACTACAGCAGACGACAAGAGAGATGATCAAAGCGGGATTTTATAGGTGAATAACGGGAAAGAAAGATAGATCTTTCTCTCTAATTTTTCTGTTGCGTAGGTGACGATGAAAGCCCCCGTGCAGTCGACGCCTGCGCTGCAGAAAGGAGAGAGAGAGATGATGATAATGGCGGGATTTTGGAGGAGAATACCGGGAGGGAAATGGAATTTTGCTGTGGTGTAGATTACGATGAACCCCCCAATGGCACTTACAACCTGGCATATTGCACTGGCTAGTAGTTAAACCCATTCCCGGTCGGTTTTGCTCGGAAATAAGGAACATGTCTAACAGCAAAGCACATGCATGTTTTCATGCTCTGATTGATGGCAATGTGAGATGATAGTAAAGACTTCTCCCTCATTCCAATGATGTGACAAACGTCACTGTGTATGAGTTTCAGTGTTCCCTCATCACTGCCTCTGTTATACCCACCTCTCTCTCTCTTAATATATTTTCCTTCTATCTCTTCCCCTCTCTCACTCTCCCTCTCTAGACCTCTCTCTCTTTCTTAATATCTTTTCCTCCTCTCTCTTCCCCTCTCTCGCTCTTTCTCTCTCTCACTCCCTCTCTCTATCAATCTCTCCTACCCTCTTCCTTCATCACTGTCACACCCCAACGTATACACATACCTGCAGTGGATGACCATGGGTCCGGACTCGGGTGGGGTCATGGCTCGCACCCTGCGCAGGAACGCTAGCACGGGTGTCGGATACTCCGGCACGCCGTGGTCCGGCCAGGCCGTGAACTGAAACTGCTTCACCTCCCGCTTGTCCGGGTAGCCCATCTGCGAGCGAACGATGGCGGACTCCGTTAAACACAAGAACATGCACAGCACGTGATCGTACTTATGCGCAACGGTGGCCACAGGTTCATGGAAGGCTAGCCCCGACACTAATCTTTCGCATAACTAGCGCGAGGTGCTGCTTAACCGACTCCTTGCAAGTGGAAACACTTCTGCAGGCTTACACTGATGACAGCCTCGTTTACACTCGTGGCAGCCATACTTATGGCGGCCATGTTTACAACAGCTGGGCTTACACTGATCACAGCTTTCCTCACACTTGTGGCAGCCATAAGTACGGGTCCCCTGTGATAGAGTTGGTCAAGTTTAATATAGGGCCGCACTTACTACAGAGCCACGTTTACTACAGCCTGCGCTTACTACGCAGGTCATGCTCACTACGGCGACCGCGCTTACCCGCGACACGACGAACGTGCGGATGGTGTAGGTCGCGAGCTCGGTGACCTCGACGATGGTGACCTGCATCGGGCCGTACGTCTCCGTGCCTCGGCTCGGCCAGTACTGGTCGCACTTGATGCGGTTGCGCTCCTCGAGGCGCGTCATCATGACAATCGTCGCGCTGCGCTGCTCCCACATGAGGCGCCAGAAGTCGCCGAACGTCTCTCCGAGCGGGCCCTGAGTCGCGATGTACGCGTTCTGCTTCCTGCAAAAACAAAGGAACGCGTGTGAGATGGTGGCGCCCCCTGCGTCGCAATGTATGTGTACTAGTCGAGGGAATAAGCAATGTTCCAAGTTTCACAATTCTAACCAAACGTGCACAATCCATATGCTTATCCGCCCTTATATACTGCTTTCTGCAATATGAATAAACGCGAGTGAGACGGTAGTGGCCCTAGCCTTCCGATGTACTCGTGCTGCTTCCTGTGAAATTACTGAACAAATGCAAGAAACGGTGGAGTCACTTTCCCGGCGATGTATGCATTCTGTTTCTTCCGCGAAGGAAAAAAATGAAAAGCACGTGAAACAGTGACGTGGATGGCAATGGACTGACGTTCTTCTGTTTGTGCGCCAGTGAGCTACCACAAGAATACCTCTGTTAGCGAATCACTTACCTGTAGCCGTCGCAGTAGTTGGCATTGATATAGTCACTGCCCGGGATGCCCTCTAGTGGCTGCAGGATGACGCGCGAGTGATCGTAGGCGATCACGTTGGCGTAGCGATTCTTGTGCTTGTTGTACTCCTTGTTTGAGTGCTCCCATGTGAACTGCTGACCCGGCTCGATCGACTACGAGAGAATAAAGCATCCAATTTAGTTGCATACACAGAGAGTAAACTAGGGCACCTGAATTCACCTTCGTTGCAAAGATTTTGGAATCTCTCAGCTAAGCGAAATAAGTTTTTAAATTGACTCTTGTTATTAGAATAGTTACATGGCTGTACAGCACATTGGCATGATAAACCTTCCAATGAATGATGTCTTTTACCATATAAACTTTAAAATTTAGATGAGAACCTTGAAACCTCTGAACTTGAAGGTTAAAAGTTTAAACTGAATTCCTCTTCGACATGGATATTCAGTCGACTGGATCCCGATACGATGTGACAATCATACAGCAGACTCGTGACCAAGTCACTTAGCCACGAGTAAATACCATCGTTTCCGATTATATATAGCACCATCGCGACCACGACAACCCCAAAAAACCACGAAAAACGACGCCCTGAAAAACCACCATGTCTTGTAAAACCTCGTACTCCTACTCGAGTGTACCTCGTACTCCTGTGAGAACTTGAGACAGTCTGAGGCCTTGAGACGCTCGATGTGGTCGGCGAGCTCCGTGTAGGGGATCGGCGGGTGATTCATCATGCCGGGGGTCTGGAAGTTGAGACGCCGCATCTCGACGGGGTCGGACGGGTGCGTCGGCACGTCCATGTACGCGACCTTCGTCGGCTCGGGAGACTTCGGCGTCCGTCGCTTTCTGCGGGATAGTAGAGGGGATGCACGCGCGGTCAGTTATCACGTTTCGGTCCAATTACCGCAAGCAAAGTCGAATAGGGTACACGCGCACGGTCATTTCTCACAGTCATTTATCACGTTTCGGTCTGTTCACCACAAGCGACACCCAGGCAAAGTCGAACAGATAGTATCAATGCGTAATGTCACGTTCTTCTTAGAAATACCATGATTTCACTGCAAACTTACCAGAAAACCACGAGAATTTTTCATCACCGCATTACAACACATGCTCATCGTAATCTCCGCCTCCACAAAGACGTCCCAAGAAAGATCGATTGAGGAATTATCTACCCACTCCTATTTCTACTCTAAACACTAGTCGGCCATCTTTAGCCTAACGGCCGATCTAGGGTCGGCTTAGTAGCACATAGCCTCTAGCATGTGGCGCCACGGTCACGTACCGTCTGTACAAAAAGACGATGAGAGCGATGACGGCGAACAAGCACAGCACAGCGGCGATGATCGGACCAATCACAACAAATATGTTGTCGTCCTCAGGTCCGCCGGACGCCATCATGACGTCCGCGCCAAGGCTGATTGGCTCAGAGAACGGCGTCGAAGTGGGCAGGCTCTGTAATACACAACATACACAAGTTTCAAAGAGCTATACTATAGCCATATAATATATTATGCCATTATAGTATATTATAGTCGAGTTATACTAGCCATAGCGCTTAAATTAATGATGTGGTGATAGCGTGCCAAGTTATTATTATTCGAATTCTTGATAGACATATGTCAGAACATCAGCTGTATATCTAGGACAAATCACTAGCTATGCTTCAAGTACAGTTATCATTATCATTAATATGGTATTAATTTCGTTAATATTACTTAATCATAAAAATTATACATATCAATTATCATGTAATCTATCTACACACATTTTCTCGCATTTTCTCATGGCACATACGTTTATTGCCGCGTCAGAACTTCTCTGCAATTACCGCTTGTATCGCACTCACGTTTCCCTGCGATACGACGACGGCGCGCACGAACACACGATACTCCTGGTCCTTCACGAGCTCGCGGTTGTAGTAGTTGCCGTAGCGAACGCCGTCACCCAGCTCAAAGTACTTCGGGTAGGTGGGGTAGTCGTCGGAGCGGAATCGCGCCGCGATGTATGCCGACGGACCGGGAACTCTCCCCGAGCTCGTCTTATCCCTGTGGGTGAGTGGGAGTGTGATATGTGACCACACGTATTTAATAAGAGCGAATACGTGTACACGTGTGTTGGTATGCACACATGAACACACTTGTCCCTGTCAGTGTGGGAGTTTGTGAGGTCCGACCGTAACATTCAGAGCGAGTACGTGCACACGTGTGTTCATACGCACACACGTACACACGGACATAGTTTTAACATCACATGTACATATACAGGTCCGACCACACGTATACATTCAGAGGGATAAGAGCGAATACGTGTACATATGTGTTCGTATGTACACACGTACATGTATACTTTTAACATCACATGTAACTATGTACATGCATATACTATACACATACACGTGTTTACATGTACATGAAAACACACGCGTGCCTCATGCATGCATGCATAGATATGTACACATGTACACAAATAACACACACACAAACGTGTATACGTGTACATAACAACACGCACCTCACAGAAAGCGCGAACACACGCACGCATGTACGCACGCACGCATGCACGCACTCACGTACACACGCACGCACGCACGCACGCACGCACGCACGCAACACACACGATCACTCTCACAAGCACGACACACACACAACGCACACACACATGCAGCACGCACACACGCACGCACTCACGCACGCAGCGCACGCACGCACGGCACTGCAGCACGCACATCAGCGACGCACCGCACGCCCACGCACTCACAGCACCACAGCACACACGCACGCACGCTGTTCACATCATCACACCACGCATGCACGCACACGCACGCAGCGCACGTCACACACACACACACACCACGACGGTCACACACACGACAACGGCAACTGCGACGCACGCACGCACGGCACACACACACACACACACACGCCCCTCCACACATACCTGGTGTCGACGTCCAGCTCCTTGAGGGTGAACTGCTCGGGGTCCTTGCCGATCATGTCTGCCGGCACGACGGCGACGAGGTAGTGGTCGATCGGACCCCACTTCTCCGACGCGCGGAACAGCTCCAGCTTGAGCGTGTTGTGACCCGTCGCGCCGCGGAACACTGGCGCGCTGATCACAGAGGGCGCTGCAAAATGACAGCATTGTCGTTGGCGACGAAGGCATCGACCAGTGAAAGAGTTGAATTTATTATGGTTTTTAGTCACGCGACTGTATTTGCATTGCGGCTGATGATCGGATGGGATTAAGTGATTTCTATTAGAAACTCTTTCGATTGGAAGAACTTTTTAATAGCAGCACTAGCAGATGCTTGGAAAACACAACAGACATGATAAATAAGTCACCACAAAATCAATATATGAAACACCATATAAATTTTTTATTAAAATTTTAATATTTCTTTTGATTCTTAATTTGACTAATATTTTATTGAACTTATTAATATTTATTATTCTATTAATAATTAATTATTCTTTTTGATACCCTTTGCAAAAAATATCAAGCATACCTCTCATATGGGTGCGCGTCTTATCGCGCGCGGCAGGCAGCACGCCGTCAGCGATCGTCACCGCACTCACATTGAAGTGGTAGACGGTATTTGGCGCCAAGTCCTCGACGGTCAGCTTGAGCTGATCAACGGACACCTCACTAGACTTTGACTCGAAGATGACCGTGTTGTTCTGACCGTACTCGTCCTTAAAAGTTTTCATCGCTCCGTATGAGACCTGTGAACAACAGAGGAGTAATGACGTGAACGAAGATGGAGGAATGGTGTGAACAACAGAGTAATGACGTGAACGAAGATGGAAGAATGGTGTGAACAACAGAGGAGCAATTATGTGAGCGAAGATGGAGGAAGGGTGTGAACAACAGAGTATAATGACGTGAACGAAGATGGAGGAAGGGTGTGAACAACAACAAAAAACGGCATAAACAAAGATGGAGGAATCGTGTGAATAACAGAAGAGTGGCATGTACAACAATTAAGGAACAGTGTGAGCAGTGGTGGAGGAATGGCCCAAAGAACAGAGGCAAGGACAGTGAGAACAATAATGGAGCAAACAGTGTGAACAATGGAGGAAGACCGTGAAAATGGCAAAGGAATGCAGTGAGCATCAATGTAGGAACAGTGGCATAGGAGACAAGGTACAATGTGAAAAACGATGGAGGAATAGTGTGAACAACAGTGTAAGAACAGCTTTAATCTGTTGAATTACTGGATCAAGCCACTGAAAATGCAATACTTGTTGAGATATTCTTACATGGGTGATGACACTGCTGTGCTTGATGTCACAATGGGCTATCAATTCTATCACTAGATAGATCAGTTGTTGATGTAAATCAATTCTGCTATCTACTAGTGTCCAATAGCACACAACAAATTCTAACAATTTCAGGCAAAACAGGCAGGAAGCTTGCTAATCAACTAGAAATGTGGCTGCTAAGTAGTAAGTGTTAAGTGCCTTGCTTCAACGAGAACTTGTATTTAATCCTTTAAACATGACAACCGTACCCAATATTTAATGGGAATGACGTCCATTGGAGGTTGCCATGATAACACCACCTTGTCCTCAGTCGGATCCAGTACAGCCATGACATTCATGGGCACCCCTATAGTAGTAACAGAAAAATACACTACATCATTAATGCTCAACTTATAAATCACCCACATTATCCTCATGTTGAGTCACCGCAGTACTAATTGGTTACGTGGTTAAGTTAACTTAACAATTACGCGGCTTGTAGTAAGCCGATGACGGCAAATTATCACCACTTCTTGCTGCACCCGACTAAGTAGGTTCTAATGGCTGAGGCCGGTCACTGGAAAATAGTGCTAAAAGCTTTTGCGTGCCACAGCTAAGAGGGTATATTATTTTCCGTGTGAATAACATACAAATACACGTCCTCTAATAAGCAGACTCGTCTCGGAGGAAAACAGTGTCCGGCACATTTTACCACCAACAATTTCGACTAATTTCAAGCAATTTTCCTAACGAATGTTCCATCGTGACTGCGTCCATGCGTCATGCATTTTGGCGTACGACGTATAGATCATGCATCGAAGTCGACCTCATTCAAATGAAAGAAGGCGAACAAGGTAAAGAAGAAGTAAAAGAAGAAGAAAAAGAAAGGGAAAAAAGAATTAATAAAAAGAACATGAAATTGAAGAAAATGAAAAAGAAGTTAAAAATACGAGGAAGAAGACGATCGATGCCGACAACTGCGAGAAAATAGAATGGTGGTGCGATTGGGTTCGTAGTTCTACGTTCTACGTACGTTTCGGGTCGACGGTTACGAAAGCGTGGTTAGAGAGTACTCCGATGCCCTTGGCTGTGCGTGCTCCAACCTGGATTGCATAGGTCGCCATGCGCTCCATATTCTCAATGACGACGGACATCGTGTGACGGCCTCCAACCTGCATGGTGAGCGCATCCAAGACCATTAGTCATAAACATGCTTTCAAGAGTAAATAATCATGAATTTTGACACGAACATTTGTGATTATTTACTGCTGATGCTATGAATGACCGGCAACAGTCATATACTAGGGGCAAGCAACGATCAAGAAACGTGGAGGAGACAACCGTTAATGACATACATGTTGTCACGAACACCTCTGTACTAAAGGAGATACAGAGTATACATACATAACACAGTGTAGCGTCACATATACATATAAATATAGCACAGATATGCTCACGTTATTATAAACAGTGTTTAAAGACTGGCTGAGGTCTGGGGCCAGCTAATAGCCAGTGAGTGACAAACTTGCTAGGATGCAAAGTTAACGTCAAAACTACATTTGTCATGTTCATATGTCAGGGTATTAATTATTTCAGTGTTTAACTGAATCAATGTTGTTACTATGCACCCACCTTGACGGTGTTCCACTGTGACATGTCTTCGACGGCCCGCAGAGCATAGAATATCTCGTATCCGATCACCGACGGCATGTCGACGGGCTGCCATGACACCTCGACAGACTCTTGAGAGATGGGGACGGCCTTCACTTCCGTCGGTGCTACAGGCGCTGCGGCGATACGACGTCACAATTAAAGCTTTCTCACCTTCCAGTACGTTAGGGTTAGGATTATGGGACAGCTGAGTGAGCAGACAGCAGACAACACTCTCTGTCTCTCTATCTCGCTCCCTCTCCCCTCTCTTTATCTACCTCTGTCTCTTTTTCCCTCTCTCTCTCTCTCTCTCTCTCTCTCTCTCTCTCTCTCTCATAAAACTCTCCCCTCTCTCTGCTCTACCTGCACCTCGTGATCGCACAATCTTCTCTAAACCTCTCTCTCTCTCCCTCTCTCCTCTTAATCGCCCCCTCCCTCTACTTCTCTTCTCCCCCCCCTCTCTCTCCTCTCTTCCCTCTTTCTCTATCTCTCTCTCTCTCTCTCTCTCTCTCTCTCTGAAGCTGTATTTTAAATAACAAAAGACAATTGTGTCCTCGACCAACAGAAATCTACAATTCGTGCCATTTTGCATCTGTAGCAGGAGCAAGCTTTGATTTACACTGTAATACAAGCAGTAATCTGCCACCATCCCTCACAATTTTAGCTTAAGATGAATTTTCTGTACGAATTAAAGAGCGTGCAAGACTGAATAGATTTAGTTATGGACGATGAATCGCATTAGAGCCCTTCACGCTATTCAAACCAAAATAGACTTGACGCTTTAATTTACTGCTGTTCATCATTGTGCTGCGATCTATTTATTGGACAACCAGATGTAAAAGGTTTGATGAGCCATTGATTCACACGCAGTCATCCACCTGGGACCACGCGTTTAGCAATGCGCTAAACTTTTATGCAGTTGTCTTCCCATTACTACAAGCCCAACATTGCCAGCATTGAGTCTTATGGGCGCTGCCACCATATTCAGCTGGCTGCCATATACTAGCAAGCAACTGATTCGCCAAGGTCTATTATCAGGCCTGCCACCATAATTTGGCAGCTGTCGCAATGCCATTTACTAGCAGGGCAACATTTGCCAGCATTATCATGCCGCTTGTGCAACTCCATTCATGCAGCTGCTGCCATTACTACAAGCAACATCCTTGCCTGCAGCATTATCACTTGGCTTGGCACCATAATGGCTAGCTTGCTGCCATTACTACAAGCAACATTGCCAGCATTATCAATGCGCTGCCACTCGGATCCATTGTCCAAGCTGCTGCTTCTGGAATTTACTACAAAGCAACCATTGCCAGCTATTTATCATGTTTGCGCGTTGCCCAGCCATAATGGCATTCTGTGCGTGCCATCCTACTACAAGCAACCATTGCGCAGATTTATCATGGCTGTGCCACATTAATGGCAAGCCTGCCTGCCATTAGCTACAAGCAACATTGCCTGGAGCCATTATTCCAATGGCTGCCACCATGACTTGCCAGCTGCTGCCATTACTACAAGCAACATTTGCCAGCATTATTCATGGCTCTGTCTGCACCATATATTGGAGAACTGTTGGCGTTTGCCATTACCTACAGAGGCAACCATTGCCCAGCATTATCATGTGCAGCTTCGCTGCTGTTCATTTTAATGCGACACCATGCAACATTGCCAAGCATTATCATGGCTGTGAGCTCATTACTACAAGCCAACCCATGCCAGCATTTATCACGGCTGCCACCATCATGGCCAGTGGCTAGTTCTAGACCTATTGGACTACAAGCCAACATTACCAGGCATTGTACAGGGCCGTTTCACCAAGCTGACAAGGGAACGCTCAAAAAACAGGGAAAAATGGGAATTTCATATCGTGAAAAAATAGAAGGAAAATTAGGAATGTGGTTTGGGCTGAGAAGAATATATGTTAAATAGGAATTGGATTTGCAATTGCTGGTTCAGATTCGGACCTCCCAACACCCCTACAGCCATCAACCGATCCACCTGACCAAATGGTATGATCTTGTATTAATTAGTACACTATTTGGTAAAGTTACATCACATGCCGAACATATTTTGAGGTGGGGTTTTAATTTGAGTTATATATACATGGCATGATTAAATTGATTAGCCTGTAGTTTGGATCTATACATGGGAGAATAAGCACCCATAACATGTACCCACCATACATGTTAAGGCTTACCATACATGTAGATTACTCCAAAATAGTATGACGTACATGTATACATGAGCCGTGATCCGGCCCTTTTTGAAAAGGGGGGTGCAGTAAGAAACCTAAAGCGGCCACTTTTATAATAATGGTGCCGAACGGCTAGCTTATGCCGGCATTGTCTAAGGCCACTTGGGCACTTAGAGCCGGGGGAGGGGGGGCGGTTAGGCGCGGACCCTACCCCCAAAATTTTTTTTTAAAAATTGGATCCTGGTGCCATTCTGAGCAGCATATGGAGCAGTAAATTCCTTGCACCTCCTCCTAGAACTGCACAGATCAGGCAAGTTCCAAATTCCTTTCAAAGCAGAAATTATTCTTTTATGGTGTTTTCCTTTTTTTTGGGTAAAAAGGGGGGGTCCGGACCCCCTGGACCCCCCCTCTGGATACACATACCACATCCAACTGAGAAACAACTTTACTGAAATAAAATCTGTGATAGTAAAGAGTATATTACGTTAATTTAAAGTAAGGGGTGGGGGTCTGGGGGTCCTCCCCCAGGAAATTTTTGAAAATTGGGTCACCTGAAATGTAAATTCCTGCATTCTGAGAAGGATACATACAATTCTGGATTCAGAAAAATGAAAAGCCCTCAAAAATAGGAAAAAATAGGAATTTGTCCAGAAAATAGGAGAAAATAGGAATTGCCAAGAAAATAGGAAAAAATAGGAAAAAATAGGAACTTGACGCCCTGGCATTATCATGGCTGCCACCATCATGGCAGCTGCTGCCATTACTACAAGCAACATTGCCAGTATTATCATGGCTGCCACCATCATTGCCTCTATCACGGCTGCCTCTGCCACCATCACTCCCTTCCCCTCACCACGGCGGCTGTTCTTACCGTCTTCGGTCGTGCCGACCCTCAGGTGCTCGCTCCATGGTCCCGCGCCCTGGCTCGTGTGCGCGCGCACGGAGAAGTAGTAGATGCGATCCAGCTCCAGGTTTGGCACAATCATGAACGGGTTCGTCGTGTTGTACTCAATCTGCGAGAAACAGTAAGAGTCAGAAGACAACAGGTGACAAGTGACAGACGTATAACGACACAGGTGACAGAACATCAGATGTCAGAGGAAGGAATGTCAGAGATCTGATGACAGGCATTAAACGACAAAACGTCAGACACCAGGTGATAGGTGACAGAATGTCAGATATAACATTTTAAAACGTCAGACACCAGCCGATAGATGACAGAACATCAGATGTCAGAGGGAACAATGTCAGGAAAGATCTGAAAAAGAGGAAGAGATCTGATAACAGGCATCAAATGACAAAACGTCAGTCATCAGATGATAGATGACAGAATGTCATTGATCTGAGGACAGCCATTCAAATGACAAATCGACAGCCATCAGATGACAGATGACGGAATGCTATACATCTGATGACAGGCATCAATCGACGAATGTCAGGTTCCAGACAACAAACAAAAAACGCAGTTAACGAGTTCAGACGACAGGTAACATATAGTCGATATCAGACAACAGAACGTCAAATAACAGACGAACCGTGGACTAAACAAACGCGTTGTAAATAATATATCAACAGTTGTTCAACGATCGTCTGTACAAGAATGCTCCCGCGTCGATGCAAGCTGACAACATATGGATTGCCCCAATGCAAACTGCGTCGGTGAAAAGAACCACGATTGCCAGAGAAGAACAGAAAGAGGACAACGCAAGCGCATGCATCTTTAGTTTGATTCTTCATCAAAACAATTACTTCACCTGCTAAACAAATTGTTTCAATGAGAATCTAATAGCACACATCACGTAATAGATCACATAGACTGGCGCCACCACTCACCTTTCCACTGTGGTCGTGCTGTTTGTAGTACTGCACAGTGTACATGGTGATGTTACCGTTGCGATCTCGCAGCACCGGGGGCAGCCAACTGAGACGCATCACTGTCGGCGTCTGCAGCCAGTAGGTGAGGTTCTCAGGAGCGCCATCTGGAACTGATGATCGGAGAAAAACACATGGTGTTAGATCTCATTCTTTTGACTCATTGAATTACCCTGGCTCGTAAATTTTGCTCTCACTCGCGTGCGCTCTCTCTCTATATATATCTTTTTCTCTCTCTCTCTCCCGCTCTCTCTCTCTTTCTCTCTCTCTCTCTCTCTCTCTCTCTCTCTCTCTCTCTCTCTCTCTCTCTCTCTCTCTCTCTCTCTCTCTCTCTCTCTCTCTCTCTCTCTCTCTCTCTCTCTCTCTCTCTCTCTCTCTCTCTTCTCTCTCTCTCGCTCTCTCGCTCGCTCCCTCTCTATATCTCTTTCTTGCTCTCCATCTCTCTCTACTCTCTCTCTTTCTCTACACTTCTGACATGATGAACTGAACAAGTGAACTCTGGCACTCCATACGGTAAGGCAATGAGCTGGTTTACCTCCGTCAGGTGTCGCCACCATCCTCACAGCAGCCTCTCCGTAGTTCTCCTCGTTTCTCGCTGTCAGGCGGAACTCGTAGGTGGAGCCCTTGTCTGTAGCACAACAAACACAAGCACATCTGTTAAAGCAGCTCGCATTTCACAGTTTATGAAAAGCAGATCAGGCCAGATTTATATATGTGCGACAAACCTTTTATACACTATTTACAAAGGGCAACGTGCCTTATGATTGTGAGCCGACTTTAAGAAGTGATCCGATTTTGGTGGAAACAACAGAAATTTACACCCGCTTCCATTTCACCCACCCGCCCCCCCCCTCCTGCGACGACTCACCGAGGTCCACGTCGGAGTCATGGAAGTTGAAGAAGTTGATGTCCTCTAGCTCTAGTGGCCGACTGAGCTGCTCACCAACTTGGCCCCCGGCTCACCGCCCCCGCTCCCTGCACCCACCACGCCCCTTCTGCCCCCGGCCATCCACCCTCCCCCGCTCCCTGCATCTACCCCAGCCATCCACCCATGCCTCTGCCACCCCTTAAAAACTCACCGAGGTCCTGGAAGTTGAAGAAGTTGATGTCCTCTAGCTCTAGCGGCCGGCTGAGCTGCTCACCGACCTTGCCGTACTCGAGCCGGTAACCGAGCAGCGCTCCGTACGTCGCCGTCGGCCGGCTCCACTCGACGCGTGCGTTGATGACTCCGTCGCGCGTCCTGTTCAGCTTCACGTCCATCTGAGGCGCGTTCGGCACTGCCGAGGAGAGAGAGAGAGGGTGAGGCACTGTCAGGGGCAAGAGAGATAGACAGGGTGTGGCACTGCCGGGGGCAAGAGAAAGAGAGAGAGAGAGAGAGAGAGAGAGAGAAGAGTGAGAGGGGTGAGTGAAGTGTAGAGTGTGTGTGAGTGAGGAGGAGGAAGAAGGGTAGGAGAGGGAGGGGGAGGTGGGTAGAAGAGGGGGGGGGGTGAATGGGAGGGAGAATATTAAGAGATGCAGTGCAGGGATGAGGGAGAGAGAGATGGTGAGGGTGTGAAGGCAAGAACTGGGAGGAAGGGAGAGGGTGAGGGGGTGTGAAGGATCAAGGTGGAGGGGAGAGGAGGGGTGAATAGGAGGGAGAAGGGTAAGAGATGCACAGCAGGGATGAGGGAGGGAGAGAGAGAGAGAGAGAGAGAGAGAGAGAGAGAGAGCAAGAGTGAGAGAGAGAGAAAGAGAGAGAGAGAGAGAGAGGGAGAGAGAAAGAGAGAGAGAGAGAGGGAGAGAGAGAGAGAGAGGGGGGTGAGGGTCAGTGAAGGATCGGATGGAGAGGAGGTTGGTAAAAGGGGGTGGAAAATGGGAGGAGGTCGGGTGAAAGGAGATGAATGGGAGGGAGAAGGGTAAGAGAGAGGGGATGAGTGAAGGATCACGGTGGGAAGGGGGAGGAGGTCGGGAGATAGGGGGGGATAGAATGGAAAAGATGGAAAGACAGGAAAAGGGAGAGAGAGGGTGAGCGAAGGATTGAGGAGTGGAAAAAAGGTGGGTGAATGGGAGGGAGAAGGCTCAGAGAGTGAGAGGAAGAGGGAGAGGGAGATGGAGAGGGACAGTGAGAAGGCTGAGAGGAGGAGGGAGAACGCAGGTAAAGAACAAGAGAAGAGTTTCCACCCAATCTTCCCGGCCACTCACCGACTTTCCCTGCTTGCAGCTCAAACCGGACAACCCCGCCCACAGCAATTAGTACTGCTTACCACCACCAGGTGTCTGTGCGGTCTTGCCGCGGCTGCGCTTGCCGTCGCCGGCCCGGGTGTAGGCAGCCACCTGCACGCTGTACCACGTCTCCGGAGACAGACCTGTCACGATGTATTCCTCCTGGTCGGCAGTCCTGCACGCAAAACAACATGTCTCTCCTTATTACTGTTATAGTAGCGAGATGGATTCGCCCCACTCGCCATGGCTGTACCTATGTATGTATGTGTGTATGTGTGTATGGTGTGTATGTGGGGATACTGCGAATGTACTGTTAGAGTGTGTGGATTGCAAGTACTAAGGCGATTACAGCGACGACGACGCGCAGCCCTCTTGAATACGACTCTAATTAACGAAAATAATCGTTAAAGTTTACACAAAAAACGTTAAATAAATAATAGTTTTTCCAGTTCGCGCCATTCGATTCGAGGCTGCCGCCGCGCGTGTCATCATTTGAAATCACGATAACTGACATAAACACTTTAGGAAGCCGAGGTTCAACGATTGAGACGATCGCGTGAGCACGCGAGGCCAGGCCGTGAATTAATTGGCTCTATTATATATGCTATAACACTATTGTGCACGTCGCGTGGCGTATACACGTGGGAAACCGCCGCACGATACTATCTGCCCCCAAAATCTCGCGACAACTGCGTTGCTAGTGCATCCTCGCCTGCAAAGGGCATCCAACGGCATCCAATAACGATCAACGGCGCCCGAGTGCATTCGCGCTAGGCTTAGATACAAATATCTCGAAAAATTGCCTAAATATCTTTCCGGAAATTCTCCAAAAAATCTCTAAATATCCCCCAAATTTTTCTAAATATCTCAGTTATCTCAACGTAATGTCTTTTAAACATATTTATTTTGTGTGAAAAAATGTTTTGGTCAAATGGTTTTTCTTAACAGAAAAGGACAAACTCATCCTTGCAAATCCTTAATATTTGAGAAAATTGTGTTTTATCTTCTAAATATTAAGGAATTTTCTAAATATCCCGAAAACTTGTAGATATCTAAAAAAATATCCGGATATTTGTATCTAAGCCTAATTCGCGCATATCCAAGGGCGCGCAGAGGGCATTCAATGGCATTCAGCAGCGTTTAATGACATCCAACGGCGTCCGCCAACCGTAACATACAATAACAAAGTGAATACGCGCCCGAGCATTTACTCGCCGAGGCGGACTCTCCACAAAATCCCTCTCTCTGCGCTACGCCGAGGGCGGCATCCTCCGAGGATCGCACGCCGCTGTCAAAGAAAGAAACTACGAGAGAGGAAGACTGCAAACTCGCGCGCCGCTGTGAAGGAAGGAAGGAAGGGAACTACGAAAGAGGAAGACTGCAACTGCAAACTCACGTCTCGAACTTCTTCGGCGGTCCGACGGGGTCTCCGCCTGCGCGCGCAAGCCGCTGCACGTGGATGTGGTAGCCGCGGATGATGCCGTTGCGCTCTCGCTCGGCCGGGTTGCGCCACTCGACGCGCACGACCGTAGAGTTGAGCGTGTAGACGCGCACCTTGCGCGGCTCGCCCGGAACTGCGGGAGAAACAGCGAGGAGAGAGTGAGACAGAGCTGACAGTGTGAGACGACCCCCTTAACGACAACGCCTCCCTGTCGCACACCCACGCGTGGTACGAGCCGCTAGATTCTCAGTCCCCATCTCCCCCATGATCCTATCCCATGATCCTATCGTGAGATGACCCCTTAGCAACAGGCCTCCCTCCCGCACACCTCCGCGCGGTACGAGCCGCTAGATTCTCAATTCCCATCTTCCCCATGATCCTCTCTGCGGCGTACTCCCGTACCTCCCTCCTCTCGCTCTCTCATCACTCCCCTCCTTCATTCGCCTCCCTCGCTTCCCCTTTTGGCATTTATTCATCTGTGTTGTTGTTTTGAGGTATATACACTAAATGCACATACACGCACACACACACACACGCACGCACGCGCGCACAGGCGCACGCACGCACGCACGCACGCACGCACGCACGCACGCACACACACACACACACACACATAACTTCTGCCAAGGGGTTGGCAGGAGGTTATGTTTTCACCGGCGTGTATTTGTTAGTTTGTGGGTTTGTGCGTTTGTTTGTTTGTGTACAGCCTAACTAAAAAAGTTATGGAGGATTGTCATAAAATTTTCAGGATAGGTCAAAAATGGGCTAACTTAGAATTGATTAGATTTTGGTGGTGATCCGGATCCAATTAATTAATTAATTAAATTTTCAGGATAGGTCAGAAATGGGGCAACTTAGAATTGATTACATTTTGGTGGTGATCCGAATCCAATTAATTAAATAAATTTTTCACAGTGAGAGAATTCAGCTGCCTTGGCGGAGGTCTGCGCTCTCCGAGTGCTCTAGTTAAATATGGATTCGCCACGTTCTACTCTCTAACGATGACACAACACTTTGTGAAAATACTCCCTTCACACACACTATACCCACTATCACCAGCCCTCCCTACTAATCTTTCTAAACCTCCACCCCAACCATCACCCTTGTCATACAAATCATGCCACACAAATCTGCGCCCACCATCTTCCCCTAAACACTGCTCCCACCCACGAGACCGCCTGTTCAGTTAGTACCACGGGTGACCGAATGCATTCAATGCCATGCTCCTTGTTTCTAATAACATTAATTCACATTTAACATATTTTAACACGTCGTGCCAGAAACGTTAAAACCGTTGCCAATTCGTTAGACAAGGTGATTTATCCTAAACTCGGTACACTCACAAAAAGAACTACATACTGATATAACATAGAATAGCATCGTTAACATGATATGGATTAGGCTGCTATCACTAGAATCGCTACAATCACTTTGACGTTAAGAATAGTAAATGTACGTTAATCATTTCGTCACAATGTTAGTTATAACTATGTTAGTTATAAGTTAGTCGTTAGTCGTTAGTCGTTAGTTCGTTAGTTATAAGCTAGTTACTTATGAGTGTGTTACTTATAGGTTAGTCATAAACTTGTTCATTAATTATGTGTGTATACATATATACATATATTATATATATATATATATATATATATATATATGAAATTCTAAATTACTATCAGCTCAAGTACCAGTGGCATGACCCCCACAAACCCCGGGGTCACGGCTCAAGCAATGACCTGAGGCATGACCTCTACGACCACTAAGGTCATGATCCAGCAGTGTGACTCGACTCAGGCTACGACCTGAGCTGTGACCCCAGCGGCTCCAGGGGGGGGGCTGCCCGCCCCCCTACACGGTCGCACGCGGCTGAAAGTGAACGGTGGTTAGGCGGTGGTGAGTGGGAGGAGGGGGGGGGCGACTCGTGCTGTCGCCGAAGCAAATGCACGCCATGCCACACATGCATCACCGCCGCTGCTGCGCATGCTAGCCAGCAGGGGGAGCCACGCGAACGGCGCCGAGACAGGCAGAGGCCGCGGAACGCATCGGTAGCGCCATCTACCGGCCTCTGAGCCGCACGAAACATGCTAGTACTCATGCAAGCATATATATATATATATATATATATCGAGAGTACATAATAAGATAATAACATAATATACATAATCTCTATTACGTTCTCTACTTGATATATATATGTATGTATATATATGTGGATGTGAATTTTGCCACGTATATAATGTATATATATATTATATTATACGTGGCAAAATTCACATCCAGGCACCGCGCACGGGCGCACAATTCACAGCCAGGCTCTGAGTAAAACTCGCACGCAATCCCACTCCGTTGATCTATCCATCCTCCATCGCTCGCTCGCAAATAAAATCACTACCGCGCGCAGCAACAGTGTTCGGATATCGACGCAAAGCCAGCCTCCTAATTAACACTCGCTTCCGATCATATTTTAGGAGCTTTTAATTAATCAGTGACGACGACAAGCGCAAGTTCTACGCAAAACTGCCGACGAGTAGTGAACGTACGCGCATCGAGTATAAATCTCACTAGCGGGCGGATAAAGAATCACGTAGAGTGGGGCTGAGTACGGTACTGCTGGCTGCTGGCTGAGAGGGAGGAGGGGGGTATGCTGTCGAGAGAGAAGGGTTGATGTGTACGTACATCGATGCACTTTCCCGGCCGCCAGGGTAGAAGCGTAAAGCACTTACCGTGATCCCGCGGGTGGGTGGTGGGGGGGGGTGTAAGGCTGAGCCTGGTGATGCGGCTGCTGCAGGCTGCATATGATCAGATGATGATACACGCACGCACGCAGCCACGCGGACAGACGTGCACGCATACACGCACGCACGCAGGCACGGGGACAGACGTGCACGCATACACGCACGCACGCAGGCACGGGGACAGACGTGCACGACACGCAGGCACGGGGACAGACGTGCACGCATACACGCAGACACGCAGGCACACGTGCACGAAGGCACGCGGACAGACGTGCACGCATACACGCAGACACCACACACGCATACACTCAGACACGCGTGCACGCAGGCACGCACGGATACAATGAACGCAGACACATGTGCACGCAGGCACGCAAACATACGGACATCCCGCGTCTCTCACGTATTCTCGCACGCAGACACGCGCACAAAAGGATATAACTCACACACCATCATGCAAGCACACAGACAACGCGTACGCACGCTATCACACACAGACACACACACACACACACACACACACACACACACACACACACACACACACACACACACACACACACACACACACACACACACACACACACACACACACACACACACACACACACACACACACACACACGTACACATACAATCAGCACCATTACGTGTGCGATATTGCCCCCTCCCTTCCCCTCCATCGGCTCTCATCGTCAACCCATCGCCAACGTCGTCGCCGCGTCCTGCTTTCTGCCGCGACACGCCAGCGCCATCATCGCCGCCACCGCCACCGCCACCACCACCGTCTTTATCTTCCCTTTCCTCTTTCTCGCATCCGTGTTAGTAGTAGTACGGGTTAGTGTTTATCATCGTTAGTAGAGCAACCCCGCGAGTCCTACTTGCAATCCGACGACGAACCGACGTACCGGATTCGGACGTCCGCACCTGGATACGGTCTGACGGCGGGCCGTCGCCGACGGCCGTGCTCGCGTACATCCACACGCTGTAGAGCGTCCACACGTCGAGGTCGCGCAGTACGAGCTCGCGGCGCGACGCCGGCACGGACACGGTGCGCGCCAGCGCGTCATCGACCTCGTCCGTCGGCATGTAGACGACGTGGTACTGCGTGATGGCGCCGTGCTGCAGTGTCTGCTGCGGCGGCCGCCAGGTGACGCGCACGTTGCGCGCGTCGACCGCGTTGGCCCGTACGTCGCGCGGAGGGCCACCGGGCACTGTGCGGCAAACATACGGAGGAAAAAAAAGAAAATGGGGAGGGCGACGTGATGGGGGGTGTAAAACGTGGAGGTGTGTGCGTGTGCGTGCGCGCGTGTGAGTGCGTGTGAGTGTGTGCGAGTGCGTGTGGTGCGCGGTACGTTTGTTGTTGTTTTCGTCGTTTGTTTGTTTGTTTACTTTTGTTTAATTTTGTTTTATTTGTGATTTAGCTGTTCTTGTTGTCGCCAGGGTGAAACTGAAAATGCGATAACGATAAATCATAAGTGAATAATGTCTACTGGGACATATATCTATATAGTATATATATATATATATATATATATATATATATATATATATATAGGCCTACAGGGAGTCTTCGAGTCACGAACATACTTTGTGCCATGATTTGATTCTTGAAGTAATTCGAGAATTCGGGAAACGTCGTATTGCATTCGTAACTATTAAAATAAAACATGGCGGGTCGCAGGTACCCAAATGTTCGTAATTCGGGAGACTCCTTGCACCGTGTGTGCGTCAAAACGAAAGAGGCTGCTACTACCGCACGGCAAACCGGGGAGAGACAAATCATACAATCATAAAAATAACAGGTGAACATCAAACGGAAACTCTCGCGCCGCTAGATCGCGCCACGAGTAGTAAACCGAAAGTAAAACAACAAAAATTCGCGAAAAGGAAATCATGATCGGGTGGCGACGTCGCCGAGACGACGTGAAACTCAAAACTGAAAAAAACAGAGCGAGAGACTGCGCTCGCGGGGTGGTGGGGGACAGTGGAGCCAAAAAAAGAGCGTGAGACAACCGTGGCGTGTGTTCTCCCCCTCGTGCTTCGCCTTCTTTCTTCGTGGTTTTTTGCTTTTCGTTTCTTAGCGTAACACTCGCCTCACGAACAACTTACCGGCTGCGTGCAGTGCGGCGGCCTCGGCTGACACCATCCAGACAAGAGGTAAAAACAGAAATTTGTACAAACACATAACTTCCCCTCGCCGGCGCCGACAACTCGACTGTGGCGCCACCTAGCGAACATCGCGCGGCCAGTCGCACCTGCGCGGCTTCACACGCGGTCTCGCAGCCTCCCTGGGGAAGCTCTTACAGGGCTTCATTTCACGGCTAACAACGCTACAGACTCGCATCATCATCATCTTCATCTTTCTCTTCCTTCATCATCGGCGTCTAGAGCGTGTTTACGTGCGACGTTCGTCGCGTGTTGCTGCCGTACCGGGGCGACCCGCCGCGCCACGCTCTCACGACCCCTACGTCTACGTCACACGCCTACGTCACACATCTACCACCACCGCTACGTCATTGCTACGAGAGCTTACGACGAGCTACGACGACGATCGCGAACGCTAGGGTGCGCTGCCGCTGCGGCACGTGCAACTAAAACACACGATTCGAACTCCACAGATGATGTACACCGATACGTAATCGAACCAAATTATAAACACGGATTGACACATTTGTAAAATAAAAACGAACGAAATTATGAGCTACGAACGGCTAGGCTCTAAGCACGACGGGAAACAACAAACAAGCGAACGGCGGTACGATTACGACAACGAAGAAACGCGGCGGCTGACGCAGCACATGCTGACGCAGCATATGATGACGCCGCACATACTTGCGTCAACAACAACGACGTCACGATTAACAAACAAGCACGTTCGCCAGGTCAGGGGTAGTAAAGGGAGGAGAGGAGAGGGGGAAGGCCGCAGAAAGTGCGTTTTCCAGATGCAATAGAAAGACAGCGAGAAAGAGCGCGAGAGAGACAAGAGAAAGAGAGGGGAGAGGGACAGAGAAAGAGAAAGAGAAAGAGAGAGAGAGAGAGAGCGAGAGAAAGACGTGGAGAGAGAAAGAGAGAGACGAAAGAGATTGAAAGCGAGAGAGATAAAAAAACGAATTAGAAAGCTAGAAAAAGAGAAAGAGCACGCGAAAGTGTGTGAGTGAGGGAAAGATGGGGGGAATGTCGGAAACGTGAAGCACGGAGGTTGCATTCTAGATTCGACATGCACACACGGCGACGGCGCTGAGACACCGGCGCCACCTGCCAACACACAAGAGGCAAGAGACGACGCTTGCAGCACGCCTGTGTACCAATAACACTTTAACAGCAAAGACAGACACAGATACAGCCGATCGCAAAGAGAACGCCACCTGACGGTGAGTTTGGCTGATTGGCACCTTAAATAAAGTGGGCGGGGCGTGAGGGCGTGGCCCGCTCTGCGGGGGGAGGAGGGAGTTCCACCCGGGGGAATCATCTGTGAGTCGATCGGTCGATCCTTGGAGACCCTCCCGTCATGGCAGCAGCACGGCCCCTCCCCCGCCACGCCCACCGCTCGTCCTCCCCCGTGCGCAGAGTAAGACACGCAGAGATACAGAGGAGACTCGGGGGCAGTGCAGGGAGGGGTAGATAAAGAAAGAGCGAGAGAGAAAGCGAGCATAAGAGAGCGAGAGAGAAAAAGAGAGAGAGAGAGAGTGAGAAAGCAGGTGTAAGAAAGCGAGAGAGCAAGACAGAGAGAGAAAACGAGCGGAAGAGAGAATTAGAGAGTGAAGGAAAGCAAACGCAGCGAAGGAGAGGGAAAGAGAGCAAAGGAGCGAAACAACGAGAGAGCAATCATCATCGACGCGCAGCGGCCGGCGCGGCGGTGGCTTACCGAACTCGACAGTACGTATCTGCACCGGGTGCGTGCTGACGCCCTCGCCTCGCTGAGAGCTCGCCGACATACGCACCGTGTAGACGGTGTTTGGGATGAGGTTCTGCATCAGGTAGCTCGTCGACGGCTGGATGCTGAGATGTATGCTCTGCAACGACGCACAGACGACAGCGACGACGTCAGCAATGAGTGAAGTAAGCGAATCAGTGATTACAGTGATGACAGTCAGTGATGATGTCAGTAACGACGTCAGTGACAACGTAAGTGACGATGTCAGTGACAACACAAGTGATGACGTGACTGATGACGTCAGTGATGACATTAGTGACAACGTAAGTGACGACGTCAGTGACAACGTAAGTGATGACGTCAGTGATGACATTAGTGACAACGTAAGTGACGATGTCAGTAATGACGTCAGTGACAACGTAAGTGACAATGTCAGTAATGACGTCAGTGACAACGTAAGTGACGATTACAGTGTTGACGTCATTAACGACGTGAATGATGACATGAGTAACGATGTCAGTGACGACCCCAGTTATGACGTCAGTGACGATGTGAGTGACGACGTCAGTGACAACATAATTGACGACGTCAGTGATGACATCAGTGATTACGTCAGTGATGGCATCAGTGACGACAAAACTATTGCAGTGTCTGCATGCTGGTGTGGTGTCTATGTGTGCCAGCACTGTCGCCGTGTCCCCTCACCTTGCCTGTCGTCGAATCGTTGTAGTAGAGCTCGTAGCGCGTGATGCTGTCTGCGGCATGGAACGGCTCCTGCCAGTTGAGCTGGATCGTGTTGGGCGACGTCGCTGTACCCTCAAGGTGGATCGGCTGCGTCGGAACTGCAGCAAACAACACCACCTGGTGAGCGAGGGCGACAACAAATATGCCATCTGGCAAGTACAACAGACAACACACACACCATCTTTACTTCTGAGTGCAAGAGACAACAAAAGTGCCACCTGGTGAGCAGAAGAGACAACAAACACATCACATTCAGAGAACAAGAGCCAACAAGAGTGCCACCTGGCGAGTACAAGAGACAAAAAACACACCACCTTCTAGATATAAGAGACAACAAGAGTGCCACCTGGTGAGTACAAGAGACAACAAACACACCACCTTCTGAATATAAGAGACAACAAGAGTGCCACCTGGTGAGTACAAGAGACAATAAACACACCACCTTCTGAATATAAGAGACAAGAAGAGTGCCACCTGGTGAGTACAAGAGACAAAAAACACACAACCTTTTAGATATAAGAGACAACAAGAGTGCCACCTGGTTGGGTGCAAGAGATAACAAACACACTATCTGAGTACAAGAGACAAGAACCACGCCCCCTGGTGAATGGCACTGCTAGAGGCAGCAAACACGCCACCTAGCGAGGATCACTGCAGAGACATCAAACACATCTGTGTGTGCGTGCAGACGAAATGCAGAGCGACATTACTACACGCAATTACGAATTAGATGAAAACCACTTCAAAGGTCTTAAACGCGTCAATGAGTGTAAAACCAATTTCCTCCGAGCTGAGTTCAAATGCACCAGAGTTGAAAATAAATTTCACAAACTAATTTAGCTGATAACGAACATTACGGATTAGCGGACATCTTACTGAGCTCTGCCTTTCATCGCCCACTCACATTTTCTGCACATATTTGCCTCGCAATACATTCTAACACGCCTCATAGCATAAGCAATTTGGATAAGCATTTTACTGGAGCAATTTTCACGTGCAATTTCTTTTCTGACCATCAAAGTTGAAAAAGGCAATTCCTAATATCCCTCACGCTGATATCAATTCACCCCCTCCCCCCTACACTGATGATTCGACCCCCCCCCTTCCTTCCTTCGAGTCTGTGCCACGACCCCTATGAGCGACCATATGAAAGATCAATGAATCAAACGAAATCAAAAGGGAACTGGATGAACCAGACATCCCACGCTATCCGTGATACGGTCTCATATATATATATATATATATATATATATATACCCCATCACCCGGTTGACGGAAATTGTTAGCCAAGTACAGGGCGCGAGGCCGGTTGTCATTAGAAGGGTGAGAGGAGGGTAGTTAGTAATAGAAGACGGGAAGCGGTGTCCGATCACTAAGAAATAGTCGAGTGGACTAATATTGCCCATAATTGCTTAGCGTGCCTCCATTCTGGCTCACAGCTCGCGCAGTCAACGCTAACACGAATAAGGTTCTGTCCACAAATCAAGGAGACCGAGACAAAGCGAGAGGGAGAGAGCGAGAGAGAGAGGGGGGGGGAGGAAAGGGAGGGGCAAGGGAAGAATGTCTATGCGAGAAAAAAAGAAAGGAACTAATATAAGCAGGTCTTTTATATAACCCCGAAAGTAATACAGAGGAAACGAGGGCGAGAGGAAGAGAGAAAAGAAAGAGGGCGGACAAGAAAACCCAATTTAAGTTACGATAGCTACAGGGAGAAAGAAAGAAGGAGAGAGAGAGAGAGAGAGAGAGAGAGAGAGAGAGAGAGAGAGAGAGAGAGAGAGAGAGAGCGAGATAGAGAGAGATAAAGAGAGAGATAAAGACGGAGACAGAGACAGAGAGAGACAGAGACAGAGGCAGAGGCAGAGACAGAGACAGAGACAGAGACAGAGAGAGAGAGAGAAAGAGAGAAAGAGAGAGACACAGAGAGAGAGAGAGAAAAGAAAGAGAGAGAGAGAGAGAAAGAAAGAAAGAGAGAGAGAGAGAGAGAGACAGAGATTCCCTTACTGTGTGTGTGCATCCGTGAGACTACACACTCGCTCATTCACACGCTCCGCCACACGCAGCTATCTCTCTCTCTCCCCCTCGCCCCCTCCGTCTCTCCTACCGCGCCAATCACGCAGTCCCGCCAACGATACAACGGCGCGACGAGAAATTAAAGAGACACACGTCGATGAAAGCCTCTCTCGTCGCGTGCGTGGGTGAGCGCACCGCATCCGTTTGATCACATCTCTCAGCCTCCGCGGCGACGACGCGCATCACAATGGCTTAATTTGTGTGCGGACTCGAAAGCGAGGCGCGGCGAGAAAGAGAGACACCTAAGTGATGGATGGACGCTGTGAGGGAGAGGGAAGACGGATGGAAAAGTAAACCGAGAAGCTATTCGTATGCATTGAAACACGGGGGCAGTGGAGATATGCACTCGTTGTCCATGCAACCCATAACGAAGGTGACACACGGTAGACCTCTTCCCGATGAAGCCATGGGACTGAATCCCTATAAATGAATCCCTGGGACTGAATCTCTATAAATGAATCCCTAGGACTGAATCTCTGAGGAATGAAGCTCTACTACTAAACAGTTTGAGCTGTTAGCTCTGTCGGTCAGCCTCCCACTGTCGTTCTCATTCACCCACTCGCACACACTGAATAACTACTTGTCAAGATGATTTTTCCCTGCGAAAACTAGCAGCAGACGGATTCTACGTGTTCCGACGTTTACACCCTAAACTCTCATAAAAACTACTGCTCTGTGAGTACATGTAGACCCACAATGGCAACCATACTCACCTCCCTGCTTCATCAGTACACATATAGATATAGACCCCATAATGGCAGCCACACTCACCTCCCTGCCCCATCAGGATATATAATATATATATATATATATATATATATAGACCCAACAATGGCAACCATACTCACCTCCCTGCCCAAGCAGTACATATATATATATATAGACCCCATAATGGCGGCCGCACTCACCTCCCTGCTCGGTCAGCACCTGCACGGGCTGCGACAGTGGACCCAGCCCGACGCTGTTGTAGCCGCGCACGCGCACCGTGTACGTGTGCTGCGGCCTCAGGTCGCCGATCGTGACCACCTGACCCGACTTGACCTCCGACTTCAGCCACAGCTTCGGGTCCTGGCTCGGGTTATCGGTGTAGTAGACCGTGTAGCCCTGCGCAAATAAACATTACCTCCGTGAGTTAATAATACCTTGGTAAACCGACCAAGATGGCGTAGTATCATGCCACCCTCTCATATTCTATGGCTCCTCTATCTGCATCTATCATTACCGGACCATGATAGTGTGGGTTATATCACCATACTTTAGTTGTGTGTTTTCCCCCTTTTTCATGTGACAGTGTACAATTGTAATAGTGACCATGACAACGCATTTTGTTACACTAATTTTGCTTAACAGGAATGAAGTCGAGACATTCGTTTTTTTTAAACGAGTCTAATATACACGTGTAAGAGGATGTGTATTGTGACTACCCATGCAGTAGTCCCATGTGTTGGAAAAATCTTTTCTACCAGGAGAGGGCACAGTAATTAACACCACACACTGCCGTGCCTAGAAGTAGGGACTGTGACTGTGATTACTGCTCTGCAGACTTTTCACCTACACATTTATCTGTATTTTTATATGTTCATGGTTATAGAATTGTATCACCTCACATTCTTCTTGCGTTCCTTTTAATTAATGGTGCTTTTTATTGCTAATACTCACCATTTTCTTTGCGATGAAATAGTCCTACAGTATTATCTTAAAATTATTTAAATATTTATTTGCTTGTTTGTATGTTTAATTACCAGTTAACGTGCTTGTCTTTGCTTTTTGATTTTTACGCAGTTTGCAACGTTATAAGTAGGTGCCGGGCTGTCTGTGCAACGCTCATGTATAAGTGATCAAACGTGGAGAAAAGCAGTGGGGGCGGGGGAATCTGTAGGGTATGTGCCCTTCCTCTCTCACCTTCATCTGTCCATTGGCTTTCTCTGGCTCCTCCCACTCCACGAGGATGGCGTTTGAACTGATGGGGTGTGCTAGAATGTCGCGCGGCGCGCTGCCCGGAGCTGCAAGACAAAACACAAGCCACGATGAGTCATCAGTGATGACTTCCCGCTCGGACGATGGTCGGTGAGGGGCCCCTGTCACAATGAGGCATTAAATATGAAACTCATAACATGCATTCAGGATGCATGGAAGGGCAATTTTTATTGCCAACTCCTTTTTCAACCATCAACTACTCTACTGCATGGCTACTGTACAAATCACTCTAAAATTCAAGTTTGAAAAATTCACTAAAGGGCTTTCGAATCCCCCACCCTTTTAACCAGTGGAGATTTCAATCACTTTAGTTCACGAAAGTTTCAGTAAGCAATTTTGCAGACACATTGCAGAGGGCGGTTATTTTCAAACAATATCGTTTCGCACTTTCGCTGAATGAGGAAGAAATGTAAAGTAGGCCGAACCTTGGAACTTCGGATTGCTCGAAAAGGCTATAATATAATGCCCTCGATGCTGGCGTTTTTATTTTACGTCATGAGTGAGAAATCACCCTTTGACATGCAAACTGAAATGATACTTCATTAAATAAGTTCATTCGGTTGGTAGAATAATATAAATAACCAAGTTAATTTTTACTCAACCGTGCAAGTTTGAAACGTACCGCTGACATTTCGCCTCCTGTCAGAAAGCTTTCTCAAAGTAAACTTGCTTTGAGAAAGCTTCCTGACAGGAGGCGAAACGTCAGCGGCATGTTTCAAACTTGCACGGTTGAGTAAAAAATTAACTTGGTTATTTATGAAATGATACTAAATAACCTATCCAACTCTACACTTCCCATCCCTCTAGCTGCACATCTCTCACCTACCATACTCGTCTTCTCAACTACTCAGAAATATTCTCTAATTATTCGACAAACTGCAATGACGTGTCACGCTCCCTACAAACAAACACAACATTGCCCACAAAGAAACGTGATACCGCTTACACAACGATATCTGCCGTCACTCGCACAAGGGACTTCACCATTCAAATACACGACACCAGACGAAAACCACACTGCACCACGCGCCGCACCAACCCACTGAAAACAACAGACACTCGCGCCGCTCCACAGCGGCGGCGCCACCTACCGAGCTCGCCCGTCGTCGCGTCGACGACCTCGCTCGGCGGGCCGTAGCCGACGTTGTTCACGGCGAGGATCTGGAACTCGTACTCCGTGAACGCGTCGAGGTCGGCGACGACGCGGCTGCGCGCCGCTCCCGCTCCCGCGCTCACGTTCAGCTCGCGAAACTCGCCCGCCTTCAGCGCGGGCCGGTAGCGGATCGCGTACGCCGCCGCCGTGTCGTCGTCCGCCGGCGTCCACGACAGCAGCACCGACGTCGACGTCACGTCCGACGTCACGAGGTTCGTCGGCGGCCGCGGCAGCGCTGAAAAAAAACAAGAGAACGTGTGAGTGCGAGCGGAAGTTAAGGAGAGGGTCGAGAGGATTGTCGGCGGCCACGGCAGTGCTGTGGCGAGAAAACAAGAGATCGCATGAGTGTGACGCCAGAGATCTCGATCGGGAGAAGAAAACAAGAGAATGTGTGTTTGCGGGCAGCAGGTCGGGGAGGGAGTCATGAAGATCGTCAGCGGCAGTGCTGCGGGAGGAAAACAAGAGAACGCGTCAGTTCGAGAGGGGGGTCGGAGAGAGAGTCATGAGAATCATGGGCGGCTGGATTGTGGGAGGAAAACAAGAGAACGCGTGAGTGTGAGGGGTGAGCAAGGGGTCACCACACTTGTCCAGAAGCAGGCAAAACTATAGGAGAGCAGGTAAGTGTGTTTATGTAAAATTTACTTAATACTTGCCTTATTTTTTATTTAGGGATAGAGTCGATACAACTAGGGGATTTTTCTTAAGATTTGCAGAAGTGACATTTTAATGCGCTATTCTCTCGCCGTCATAATTTCACTAAGGCACGATATTAAATATCTACAAGCATAACATTAAACTTGAGCAAAGGAAGAGGTAACACAACTCAACATGATATTAGAGTAGATTCGCTCCACTAGATATGGGACTAGAGCGGAGAGCCACTTTATCCAGCTTTGCTTCATTTGAAAGTACCATAAGTGATAATACTGAATAAATGTATCAATGCCAACATGTACACAGCACCCACTGCACAGTGGCGCCACTGCTCTCAGCCCCTCACTTTTCACCCCCTAACCCATTCACCGTTCAGCCTCGCCCCATCAGCTTTCACTGCCACCCTTCACCTTTCATCCCCTCACCCCTTCACCTCTTTACTCCTTCATTTTTCATCCCTCACCAATTTACCCCTTCGTTCTGGTGACTGAGCAACCTCACACATGTCCCCCACCCCCACCCCCACCCACTCACCTTTCACGGTGACCATCGAGTTGGCCTCGATGACGCCGAGGTCAGACGCGGCCCTGACCCCTACTACCCCCAAACTCCAACCCAAGCCCTCACTATCCCGACCCCCACTACCCCCGCTACCCCTCTACCCCCGACCCCTACCACCCCCACTACCCTCCTGGCTCACCTTTCACGGTCACGGTCGAGTTGGCCTCGATGACGCCGAGGTCGGACGCTGCGACGCACGTGTAGTTGTTTGAAGCGCGTATGTCGCTGAGCACGAGCACGTTGCGCCCCACGGGAGGTTGGCCGACCGTCAGGTCGTCGCCGTGGACGCGCCACTTGACGAACGGCATCGGCGAGCCGACGGCGACGCACGTGATCGTCAGGTTGGCTCCCGGCATCACCTCGTAGCTCTGCGGCCGGATGGAGAAGTGCGGCGGCACGCGACGCACTGCGGGGCGGGGAGAGAGAGAGAGAGGAGCACACGTCAAGGCAATGTTGTCGATAGGGGTGGGGGTAGATTTTACGGCACGCGTTTAGACATTAGATGCGAGATTTTTTTCCGATCTTTGTAGGAAACGTTTCGCGTCTCTTTTAGGCTATTTAATGTTTTTTAATCAATTTGATTTCAATGCATTTAAATTAATCTCTCTCTCTCTCTCTCTATATATATATATATATATATATATATATATATATATTATACATCTCACACGTAAATATACACTCATGTATATAATATACACACGTATACAATAATCACTATTAGGCAAGTAGATATGGCGGTTACGTATTTTATATGTTTTTTATGGTAATATAATTTTGATGAAAAGAACATTCCCGACACAGCGACAGCGAGTGTGCGGGCGACAGGCTGACGTTTGCACGTACTTTTCACGTAGAGGTGGGCGGTGCGTGAGTACATGGTACCATGCACGTTCGTCGCCACACACTCATAGTCTCCCTCGTCCTCCTCCTCGCTCTCCGTGATCTGCAGCGACACTGAAAACAAGAGAACACCGGATAAGACAGAAGACACACGATAAGACAGAGAACACACGATAAGACAGAAGTACACATGATAAGACAGAAGAACACATGATAAGGCAGAAGAACACATGATAAGACAGAAGAACACGCGATAAGACAGAAAAACACATGATAAGACAGAAGAACACATGATAAGACAGAAGAACACATGATAAGACAGAAGAACACATGATAAGACAGAAGAACACGCGATAAGATGGCCAACGAACAGACGCTAGAGATAAATGTCGCGATGGGGTATGACGTCATCTGACTGGCTGCATGGGTAAAACGCTAACTCTAACTCTAATCCCAACTTTATTTATAACCCTAACCCTACTGTGTTTTTCGTAAGTTCGACACCCGACGCCAGTTCGTGGTCCACATAGTTCATTAGGTCATTAGTTCAAGTCAAGTTCGTGGTCACGAATGGATGGGTGCGGACAAAACGTTGTATCCGTATCACGTCTATTAGAAAATCTGATTGAATTCTAGAGGACTTCAGTGAAGTGAGGACCGTGAAATCCGGGATCATGTGTGAAAGGATGCGTAAACGTGCACGGATTTGCCGGCGTGACGTGACTACATATAGACTACTATCTGTCTGCTCGACCACGACCCTTTACCGTCCTCCCATATCCTCTCTATTTTCTCCTCCCCTCAACCTTCTCCTTTAATCGTCCTCCTCTTCCTCCCCGGTTCTCCTCGTTGTCTTTCTGCTTCGTCCTTCTTTTCCACTAACCTCCGCCCCTCTTCCCCTACTCTTTCTCCTCCTCTTCCTCCTCCTTCTCCTCCTCCTCCTCCTTCTCCTCCTCCTACATCTTGTCATCCCCTTTGTCATTCTTTTCCTCTACCTCAAACATTTCATCCGCTGCCTACTTTAGTGATATCTACAAGCAGAGAATTCGCGGGAAGCAGTGTTCTCAAACCCTACATCCGGGTGATTGTCGCACCGCTCTCGTTCGCCTTACGCAACAAGCAACGACGACAACTGCGGCTTATGCAGATGCGGCTTCCTGCGATATTGCACAGACGAGAATGAAGGCGTGCAATCAATGAGTCGCTTGCGAAACTTGCGAGAGTAATTTAAGTGTAAATGGCAGAGTAAACAACACCGAGCGAGCGTGTTTGCTGAGAAAGCCACGCAGCGCTGTGTGCTCTGAAGAGAGGCGGTTGGTGGGTGATGGGTGGGGGTGGGGTGAAAACTAGGAATGGGAGAACGGAGGAAAGGGTTTGCACTGTTCGGGGTTTTATCCTAGAGTCCTGGAGAGAGAAAAAACTAGGAGCGAAGGAAGAGTTCTGACAAGACAGACGGACGGGAAAAACGGTGGGTGAGAGAAAATAGGAAAATCTGTTTTTCTGTCACGGTGTTTCCACGACAGAGAGTTCTGATAAGAGATATATGGCGAAGGGAAATGTGGTGAAGAAACGAAGAAAGAAAAAAAAGAAAAGTTCCCAAAAAATCATAGAACTTTACATGCTACATCAAAAATCATAGAACCGCTAACCCTGGCACCGAACCCCTTCCGCCATCATGCCCTCATCGGTTGCTAGGACTGAACCCCTTCGCCATCGGTTGCTAGGCGACGGGAGTCTGCGCTGGTTACCTGGCAGCCTCTGTCCGACCATGATGGAGTAACGAGCGATGGACATG